AGCACCTTGCCGGACAGTTGGATGATGATTGATCTAATCTTTGCACACACACACACACACACACACCCCCCCCCACACTCTCTCTCTCTCTCTCTCTCTCTCTCTCTCTCTCTCTCTCTATGGTAAGGATGAGATTTTGATTATTGGTGTGAAGTGGTTCATTGTAAACTTTGGAGGAGAAAGGGGTCACCCAGTGTGGTAAGCTCTTGGTAGGGGATGTGGGAAAACATTACTCCAGGTCATCTTCTCTCTAGCTAAATCCTTGGAACAAGCACCATGGGCTAAAAAAAAAATAAAAATTACAGTGTTTGGTGGCCAGGGAAAAGGTCAGCAAAGATACAGAGCTTGAGAACTTGGGGAAGTGGGTGAAAGGGAGAATTCAATGCCTAAAACACAACTGTGATCTCTTTACACTTTTGTCGAAGTTGAAAATTTTTATCCTGAGACAACCTTTCCCCTACATTGAGCTCGATTGAACACAGCTGGCATTTTAATGAGGCTAAAGGTGGTATTTCTGACATTTGCAGAGGTGAACATTAATACATTAAATTTTACTTCCTTTTATTTTCTAATAATTTGGGTTTTAAAATATCTTCATTCAACGTATACTCAAGTCTAAAGTTGTTGTCTTCGTATATTGTTGATTCTGACTTACAGCAATTCTAAATGATATAATGAAGCTATAAAGAATAATCTTTACTCTGATAAAAATTTGGTATATAGTACTGATGATAATAGACACACACACACACGAATAGTGGCACAAATTATAAGACACATTGTTGTCCCAACAGCAAAACTTATTAAGTCAGAACCCTTTTATAACTGACGCTCCAGTGGTTTTTCAGAGGTGAAGATTGCCCGTATTTCTCCCTCAGATGCTTAGCTGATTCAAAACACCCAGGTTAGGGTTGCCAGTTCCTGCTAACGAGGCAACCAGAGTTCTGCTGTCTACATTTTAAAAATTAAGTACTTTTTTAAGTACTTCGTTTAAAAGTACATGACTCCATTAAGATATCACAGTTGACATTTATTAACTCCTACTACTTGCCAAGCATGTGTTAATTGTTTTACACAAACTATCTTATTTAACCATCTCAACAATTGTACGATGTTGATGCAATTTTATATTTAGAACTAAGGGAATTCTCCTGGCCTAGTGAGAAAGAGCTGGGCTGCCAACTGAAGGGCATTTGGGTTCAAATCCATCAGCTGTTCCGAGGAAGACAGATGAGTGACCTTATCATTTACTGCCTCTGAAAACTTGCTGGAGGGTCAACTATGAGTCAGTTCCAACTCAACAGTACACAATAACAACAACAACAACAAGGCTTAGTGAAACATGTAACTGACTTAAAGCCTACAGACAGCAAATGAGAAAGTCAAATTTAAGCATGTTTGAAAATAAAACCTGTTTTTGATGCACCGCGTGCTCTAACTTCATTCACATATTAGTAATACCAATCTACCAGAGATAAATATCCTACCATGATTTAAATGCATATAACTCATTTGTGATTTAGCTCTCTGTGGAGTCTGGGCAGAAATTATTCTCAAATTCTGGACCATTCCAAACTGGAGTTCCCCTAATGATATCACAAAAAAACCTCTGATAAGCCCAAGGAAGAATCACACTGGAAGTTTCCACAAATGTCAACTCACTCTTCCGAGTTCAGTAGAGTGGTAGCGAATAGGGTAATCAATGACTTAAAAAAAAATAGCTGAAATAGCCAACAGATATTCTCATTGCAAAGACTTAACACCAAATGGGAAAATATTGGATATATAGAAGTACTTCTGTTTCAAGATACTACATAATAAATCTATCTCCAAATACTTGAAGCTGGGCCACATGAACATGCATCCTGGGAGCAGGGCTGTATTCCTCGCCATTGGTGTACTCACCTCTTTTGTCTTCTTCTTGATCATCTTTCATCCTTTTGTTCAATCTATTGTGTTTATTTGGGTTTCAAAACTAAAGTACATTCTTTGATGTCTTCTTAATGTGGCACAAATTTAAATATATTACCAAGGAGAAATGAAACCGAAAGAGGCAAGATCGCAGCCCTGAATTTTCCTGCAGGGTCATAGTTGCTGATTAAAGACTCAAAACAGCCGAGCTGATGGGCCCAGCTACCTTTAACCTGAAGATCTGTGGAGCAGGGCAGCGAGGATGTGTGGGAGGGGGCTAGAAACTGCTTTCAGCTGTTATTACCATAACTTCGCATCCTTGTCCTTAAGTTGGCAAATGCTAATCAAGTGTCTTTTTTTGGTTTTTTATGCTGTCCATTTTAAGGAAAGTTTTTGAAAAAGGAGAAGAAAAAAGAAGTATGACTAATGACCCAAAACCCACATAACCGTCCAGTTCTATCACATTTTCTCATCCTATTAAGATGATGGCTCAGTTTCAAAAAAAAATAATTATTTGAGTGTAGTTAATGTACAGTCTGGCCAAATTACTTTATAAGGCGAGATCGGCTATTTTTGTCACACTCTTCACATCCCAGGTGACTTCAGTAAAATTCGTAGAAATGAAAATTTTTAAAGTATGCGTGGTGTTCGACTCTTACCCAGTCATCTTCTCCCTGAATGAAATTCTTAATGTTGGTAAATATGCAGCCTTTGGAAGCGACCTTGCTGATTCTATTTTGGATAATATGAACTTTGCTGTCTTGTGGCTTGCCATGAAGAGTTCTTGGTAACATTATCCTTCCTGCTGAATTTAGTTGAGATGACGAGTTAGACATTTTCAAACTAGCTGTGTGTTAACTTGCCTGCCTGCTTGCATTCCGTTTGGCACTTAGAAAACCAGGCACTGGGCGGATGTTTGTCAATTGTATCTATAGCTTAGCTTTCACTCCTCCTGACAAAAGCTATCAATCTTAATCCTCCTACACATGTCACGTACTGTTTTCCAAAACCAAAGTTACAAGTCTCAAATCTTCACCTTCTTTTGATTGACGGATGATGCCTTCCACTGACAGTGGGCAGTGAATTTACACTCGACCCCCATGTGAAGCTAAACACACAAACCCCAACCAACAGCACACTTTCAAACTGAAGTAGCGTCCCCCTCTTTTTTCCCCCTCCTACTTCAGTAACGCAGAATAACAGTCTCTAAATAATATAGCCCTTTGGGGGAGGGTTGCTGAATGGAAAGGAAAGAATATAAGAATGTAAGAATAGCACCTCAACCCAGACAAGGTGTAGCCACCCCCCCATACCCTCACCCCAGAGCAGCCCTCAGTTCTCAACAGACATCACAAAAAAGGTTCCCAGGATACAACACAGAGGAAAAGTCAGTCCTCCAGTGAGCCACTTCAGTGCCTCCTGGTTAACCCAGCCACGGTATCTGTGCCAGGATTCAGATTAAAACTCAGTGTCCTCCTTAGTCCCAATGCAAGTCTATTTCTAGATCTGTCAGACTCAGCTCTGCAAAGCATCAGTATTCTCTTAAAAAAATGCATAAGCTTACACTCTGGGCCATCCATCAGTCATACCTATGATTGAGGACTACACCAGTAAGCTCTTTTCCAGGGAAGATGCCCAAGGCCGCCTATGTCCCCAGGCTGTGGGAATGGGAGTAGAAGCAATTGAATGGGGGAACTTACCAGCTCCTGAGTTCTCAGAGTAGCTGCAGCAGCCTCGCTGCTTTACCTGATCCCTCGCTCTCTCTGTCTGTCTCCCTCTCTCTCCCTCTTTCTCTTGTGTACAGATTGCAGGGAACTTAAAAGAACTCGCAGGGACAGTGTTTCAGATGACTTAAGAAAGAGAACAGGAACAATACTTCGTTCTCTTTTTCTCAGATGAGTACCTTCGGGAAGAAGGAAGGAAGGGAGGGGAGAGGGAGGAAGTCAACAACCCTTTGCTTTCCTGAAAAAAAATAAGGAAACAGAAGATAGACATCTCATTTTCTCTTAAACAAAATGTTGGAAGGGGGAAAAAATTTGGAAAAAAAAAAGAAGAAGAAGGAATTCCTCAAATATTAGGTTCTCTGTCCTGAGAGCATTAAAGAAGTAGAAATGCATTCAGGGCCTGGCCTAGTCCACATAAATGACATTCCAGAAGGGCCTGCTCTCTTGAGCCTGCAGGCCAAACCGTGTCACTGTGACTCTAAGCCAGGGAAAGTAAGGGTTGTAATGCTGAGGTAAAGCTGCAGCAGAAAGATTAGGTGGCATGGCCAAGTGGCCAGGACTTTGGGCTTTCCGGGGCCCTTGGAGACACCAGAATCCAGCATTGCTGCAATCCCTTAGCTGGACGCTAGATCCTGAGAATTCTGCCAGGTTCAGTTCATGGATTTCTGCACTGCTCACTGAGCTGTATGCAGTGGACCAAATTCAGCTTCTAGCTATGCCAGTGGACGAGAAGGGGTGAGGGAGAGAGCAACTCAGCACTTACCACCAGCCTGCAGTCGGACAAGGCAATTCCAGAGCCGTCCTTCACATGCTCCTAGCCTTCATATTCCTAAATCGTCTTGGATTTAGGCCCCCCTGGGAAACGTGGCAGGTAGTTTCTAATTTGTTTGTGAAAAAGTGTGCGAAGGCATGGAGCTTCAATATATCAGATGCAGCTTTTGAAATGGGATGAGGAGGCCGAGCAGAAGGAGCAGAGGAGAAGATGGGAAATACCCTTCCGCGAGGCCAGGGCTCTCGGGAGCTCCGCGCCCAGAGTTAGATCCTCCGATCCCAGAGCTGGGATTCTGTCCTCTGATTTGTGTGGCGTGTCTTGTGCCCTTCATTCATCTGCTTAAGAGCATTTTCACCACAAACAGGAACCAGCAGTTATGGGGACCTTTGTGGCAGCAAAAGAAAAACTAGCCTGAAGCTACTTCCTTTATTTCACCAAACTGTGAAAAAAATGGAGTGGAGGGTTACACCTGATTGCAAGGAGCTAGGAAAGCGGGTTCATGGAGAGAACAACTCCAATTCCGTCTCCACACCGGGTGGTTAGTGGGCCCTTGGGAAGCAGAAAGGATTAGGTGCTTCACTACTCACAAGAACATTGGCGGTTCAAACCCACCCAGGTGTGCCTCAGACAACTGGGCTGGCCACCTGCTTTCAGAAGATCGCAGCCTTGAAAAATGTACGGAGCCATGCAATTCTCTGCACACACAGGGTTGCTACAAGTCAGAACTGATCCAATAGCAGCTACCAGCAATGGCAGCATGATCTATAAGGTTACTTGTTTTCAATAATTTTCTTCTTGTATGTGTTTTTCTATCTATCATCATCATCTATCATCTACCATGTATTCTGCATATGTGCGTGTGATCTCCCTGTTTACTGTATGTGACTATGTGTATCTGTCAGAGAGGAAATAAGTAGGTTTGTATGATCCAGGGTGCAATCCTATTCTTTGCAGTCACCCTGGCATTAGAATTGGAATGGTACATAGCACTGGATTTAAGGCCAGGCTGACCCAGCCCCATGCACAGCCAACAAGACTGAGACAGAGCCTCCAGGGTTTGCCCTGGGTCACAGATCAGGGACAGAAACCACAAAGTCCATCTGTCTCCTGATTCCAGCCGAGTGCTCTTCGCCCTCTGTTGACCTTCCTCTGTATCCTGCCTTTGTAGAAATGGGAAGGAAAATTACAATTAAAATCTAAGAAAGCAAGAGAAGAGCACGCAAGGAGAGAATGAGGAAGGGCCACCAGAGGGCTGTGTCTTTAAAGAGGGCATGATATTGGGGGCTATCTCCGAATAACTGTGAGGCGAAGAAGGACTCTGCTTGAAATGCACAATGAGAAAGTGGAAGTACAAAGGGTAACATCAGAGCAATGGGGAGAAATAAGGAAGAGTAGGCTAGGTGTCTGCAGCATCAGTCAGTGGAAGACATAAGGGGTTTTGAAGAAACAGAAATCTCAATCCTTGCAGGACTGAAAGGCTCCTGGTCACCTAGAGTCATAGTCACATGCAGCCCTGTCCACATTTTTATTCGTTTTTTGCAGCCTCAGGGTAAGGCCAGGTCTGAGCCCCAGGAGTCCAGTCAGAATCCAAAGGATTTCCCTTTTAAGTTCTCAGAATGTGGGGCCTGTCACGTTGAGTCCCTGTTGTTTTCTCCAAACCAGCTGACCCGCCCAGAGAACCTTGACAGCTACAAGTCCCAGCTGAGTCTCTGCAGCTTTGATTTAATGGTGGCTTTGATTTAGGCGGGACCTGGAGACAGCATGGAGCAAGCAGGGACTCTGAGCCCTGCCTGTGCCAAGCTATCTTCTTCCACATGCTTTGTTACAGCCCTGCCTGTGAAAATCACAGAAAGGCTTCCCCCTTGTTCCCTGTGCTGCCTGTCATAGGAAAGATGATCCTTTAACATCCAGAAAATCATCTACACAGGTGTCTAGAGGCTGGAATTCCTAAATTCCTCCCACTTGGTTTCACAAAAGAGATTTAGAATCAGAGTATCAAGCTGACAGATTCCTCAGATTCTGACACATGTGTAGAAGTGGGTTATGGCCTCTTCTCTCACCCCTCAGCAGATCCTAAGTAGTATTGTACACAAATCCTTTGAGGAGGGACAAAATGTGCAACCCTTGCCCCGGGTGAAAGAGACAAAAAGTAACTTCCAAACCCAGAGCCAAGACCATAGAAATATCTTCGCTTAAAATGGCTTCCACCTCTGAGAAATCCTTATTTATGTTTTTCCAGCTTCTGGTTGGGCTTTGGAGGCCTAATTGTAAGAAGCTGTGCTACAATCTCAAAGGCACATGGCTTGAATCCACCAGTTGCTTCATGGGAGAAGGATGGGCAATCTCCTCCTGTGTGATTTATTGCCTCTAAAAGCCCTTTGAAGGGTTAGCTATGGATTGGTTCCAACTTAACAGTACACAACAACAACAGCTTCTGCTTACCTAGAATTTTAGAATCATTACTTGAATGATATTAACTAAGAATTAATTTGATGCAAGTTCAAGGAACTGAAAAATAATTCAAGTCTCAAGTTGCTATACTGAGAGATGCTAGTAGAAAAAAAAAAATCTTGAATGATGCAGGTAGCATCAAATGAAGATGGAAGGAATACACAGAATCACTGTACCAAAAGGAATTGGTGCACTTGGATATATTTCAGAAACTACCACGTGATCAAAAGCCAATAGTATTGAAGGAAGAAATTCAAGCTGCACTGAAGGCATTAATCAACAAGAAATAAGGTCCCAGGAATCATTGGTATACCAATTGACATGTTTCAAATGACAGATACAACTGTGGATGTGCTTACCAGTCTATTTTCAATCCCAAGAAACGTGATCCAATGGAATGTGGAAACTATCTAACAATATCATTAATAGCACATGCAAAAAAAAATACTAATGAAGATCATTTAAAAATGGCTAGAACAGTACATAGACAGGGAATAGAAGTTCAGGCTGGATTTAGAAGAGCTTGTAGCTCCAAAGATATCAAAGAATAGAAGAAGAATGTCTCTTTGTGCTTTATTGACTACACAAACACATTTGACTGTGTGAATTATTACAAGTTATGACTAACACTGAGAAGAGTGGGGATCCCAGAGCACTTAATTGTGCTCATGTGAAATCCATACTTATACCAAGAGGCTATTGTGTGCACAGAACAAGGAAACACTAGATGGTTTAAAATTAAGAAAGATGTGCCAAAGTCATATCCTCTCTCCACACCCATTAAATCTGTATGCTGAGATAGAGAATCTAGACTCTGTGAAGAAGAATGTGGCATCAGGAGCCAAGGAAGAAACATCAGTAAATAATGTACATTATACAGATGACACAACCTTGCTTGCTGAAAGTGAGGAGGACTTGAAGCACTTGCTGCAGAAGAAAAAAAACCTATACTTCAATATGGATTGCATCTCAATATCAAGAAAACAAAAATGTTCACCACTGGATCAATAGTCAACATCATGATAGATGGAAAAGATTGAAATTGTCAACAACTTCATATTGCTTGGATGCACAACCAACACTCTTGTTACCAGCAGTCAGGAGACATATTGCACTGGGATGGTCTGCAGTCAAGGACTTCTCCAAATTATTGTGGAACAATGTTGTTAGTTTGAGAACTAAAGTGTGCGTGATTCAAGACATGGTCTTTCCAATAACTTTCTGTGCTGCTGAGAGCTGGACAATGAATAAGGATGACAGAAGAAGAATTGATGCCTTTGAGCTGTGATGTTGGAGAAGAGTACTGAATACACCATGGACTGCCAAAAGGACAGATATGTCTGGAGAAGGTGCAGCCAGAGTGTTCCTTGGAGGCAAAGATGACAAAGATTTCTCTTTGGGCATGTTTCTAGGAAAGGCTATTCATTGGAAAGGGACATCATACTTGGAAAGATGGAGGGGCTGGTGAAAAAGAGCAAAACCCTCAACCAGATGGATTGACAAAGTGACTGCTGCAGTGGGCTCAAGTGTTTCAGAGATTGTAAGGATGCTACAGGATAAGCCAGGCTTCAGATCTTTTGTTCATACGGTTGCTATGCATTGTACTTGACTAGATGGCACCCAACAACTACAACTTGAAACAAAGAGAGTGAAATTTTCTTTTACGTACTTTGGGCATATTATCAGAAGGGACCAGTTCCAGGAAAAGACGTTGTGCTTGGTTAAGTAGTTGTTATTGTTTTTGTCATGTGCTATCAAGTCTGAACTAACTCACAGCTGATCCTCTAGCAGGTTTTCAGAGGCTGTAAATCATATGGGGGAGATATTGCCCATCTTCCTCTCAAGAAGCAGCTGGTGGATACAAATTTCCTGACTTAGGGTGGCAGTGCACCGCCTTGCCAATTAGCCACTAGCAGAAAACCCTCAA